CCATACAATGAAGAGATCCCTCATTTGATACCAATTAATGAAGTCCCAATTGCTAACGCTCCATGTAACAACCCCAAAAATCATAAAGCCAAAAATCCCAACTTTAAAAGCTTTTTTCGAGAAACCATTGCCTGATGAGTGATGCATGCTTGGAAGCCACCCTAGTTGCAGAAGTAGCACCTAAGCTAGATGTTTGAGCATTTGCATTAATCCAAAACTTATGAGTTGCTTCTTTTGATTCTTATGCGTTGTTAATTAAAAACCTTAACCAACCCTTAAACAAATATTGTTGTGTGTGTGGGCCTAGGCACTGGCTTGACGAAGAGACCCTAAGGTTGACCTAAGTGGACTCCACTAGGGTTGTATACATGTATGAAATGCATGTATGCATGTATAGGTGCCTAGAAATGAGAAGAGAAGTAGAAATAGAATTAGAAAAGGGAGAAGGAAATAGGAAGGAAATAGAGAAAGGGAAAGAAGCCCAGCCGTCTTAGACTGTCTCCAATAGATGACCCATATGGGCACCCAAACCCAAAATAGGTAGCAGGAGACCTAAAATCAGCCTCTAACAGAGTACCTATACGGGAGACTCATTTTGGGTTGCCTGAGAGGCATAACTCAAATATGAGTATCCTCGCTCCTGGAAACCCATTTGCAGAAAGGATTCTCTTTTGGGTTCTGTCGTTGGAGAAGATGTTGAATGAGTATCGAACCTTTTGGCTGTAGCGCTACCCAAACGTTAAATAGGTCTTGTATTTTGGATGTTGTTGTTGGAGATAGTCTTAGCACGTGCGCCGCCCCAGCACCCCCTCCCGCATGCCCCCTCGCCCGATGGCACCCGCGCAATTCCCGTTTTCCCCAGCCAAAGGCGCTTCGCCAGATGCGCCCTTGCTCTCTCCCTCTCACCCGAGGCTGACAGGTGGGCCCGATGACCCCACACACCTGTCATCCCCTTCTTCCCCGAAGCCCTCCTCTACTTTTCACCCGCGCTCACCGGTGAGGATCCGAAGACGCCCATGCCATCACGACCGTATGTGCGAACCACCGCCTTGGACGCCCTCTTGGATGGCGGCCATGTCACCGATCCATGCCTCTCCCTGCTGACGCCACCGGGCGTGGCCCCGCCGTGCTAATGATGCCGACGTCACTTACTGCCAGCTGCCCTTGACCGACACCGCTCAAAAATTGGAGGCACCAAAGCCCCCGTGGCCCTCTACCATGCCCCGAACCCTAGTGCTGAAGCCGCTACAACCGCCACGTGCCCCTCCATGCGCTGTGCACCGTCCATTGTCCGCCATGGCTGCCACACGGCAATAAGAACCCGCACTAGAGCCCCGGCTTCCTCTACCACACCCCGCCGCCTCTGGTAACCACACCCACACCACGTCCAATGCCTAGAGGAGAGTTGAGAGAAGGAGGAGAAGAAGGACGGTCCGCTGCCGCCAGAGTCTGCCAGGAGTCACCGGAGTCCGCCAAGAGTCGCCGGAGCTGGAGACGCCGCCCCGGATCGACTACAATTAGATTAGTAGCCGCTTATGTGACCGCACCACATTCGCGACCGACTTTTCACGGCCTCGACTACTCACCCTCATATTCTACACATATCATCCTATCATGCTTTGCGATCGAGCCCACGGTGAGCCGTGCCTTCCTCCCCTGTCACCGGAGTACGCGTTCGCCATGGCCGCCATCGTGGCTTCCCAACCCAAGATGCATGACGCACTACCAGACTCCCGGCCTTTGCCGAGAGCCCGAAGCTCTCGGCAAAGACGAGTTGACGCTCGGCAAACTATTTGCCGAGAGCAGCTCTCGGCAAAGAGCCATCGGCAAAACATCTACCGACAAAGGATTCTTTACCGAGAACCCCTCTCGCAAAATATTTACCGAGAGTAATGGCAAGGCTCTCGGCAAACTCTAGCTCTCAGATAAGGGATTTGGTATTGGCACGCCTTAGTATGACAGCAAACCCGGCCGCTAACGGTGTGATAGCTTTTATCACTCTTAGAGCAAACCGTCCCCTGTTAAAAGAACTTCTTTATAGCCGAGAGCGATCGTCGGCGCCGGCCAAAGAATTGTTAAAAAAGATTTGTTCTAGAGTTTCGTGGTTTTCAAAAAAAAATAGGTTTACTTCTCCGAGTCCGACCACCATGCTCTCGGCAAGAAAAGCCCATTTGCTACAGAGAGCTAGGCTCTCTGCAGTGCAAGATGGCTTTTCGATTTGTCGATCCAACTCCTTTTATGAGAGCCCTACTCAGATGGTAAAGAGTCCGAGAGAGATTTTTTATTTTTGTTTATATTTCCAGCTTCAAACAACACATATTTCACAAATATAACACATCATCCACATCACATATATCACAAATATGTCATCCACATCACATGTCTCACATTATAATCCATCTAAACATCTCAAATCCAACAACACATGTCCATCTCAAAGTGCTAAGTTCATCTCACACAAGTTCATGTCACAAAGTGCTAATACATGATGAAGAACAACAGGCTCACTCCCATAATGCTCCCACCCTCCCCATACAGGCATGGAATAATCATACTGCTATTAAGGTGTGGATCTGGATTATGATGTACCTAAACTTGGATCCCTGGAGTCGACCTTTGATAGGAAAGGCGGAAGTTGTGGTCGGCTATTAATTTGGTGCCACGACCTTCTCCGACTCAGGCAGTTGTGAAGGTCAGAGTGCACATCATTCGAACCCATGGTTTGATTCATTTTCACAAAGGAGAAGAAAAATTAGTAATTATAGTAATACTAAGGCATATAATTGTAATCTAAGCGTAGAGGTGTCAAGATCTGAAGAATTAGGTATAAAATTGTAATCTAAGCCTAGACACATCAAAATTTCACTTCCATGGACCTCCAGCCTGGTAAAGGTCCACCAGGTTTCCACTAGTCAACATTCCGGTCTTGAGGCAATGGCACGATGGCCAAATGGTCACATATCAAGTGCCATACAATGATGGAGATCCACACATATGATATCAACAATTAATGAAGGCCTCCCATCACATATCAACGTAACGATGGCCGACATGCACAAAAAAGAACTTTTGTTAGAGAAGTAGAACTCACGTCCTGATGAGGATGAGTGCTGGGTAAAGCCACCCTAGGTGCAGAAGAGGCACCTAAGCTAGATGTCTAGTGGCATTTGCATTAACCCATCGTGATGCCAAGACTTGCCACGATTGATTCCAAGTTGTTAAACCTAAAACCGCTTAACGGCCTCCCACCTCATTGTTGTGTGTGTGTCCGCCTCCTCTCTGTCGCTCTTCCTCCACCCCTAGCCTTATGCTCCTCGGCCATGCACAGGGATTTTTCACTAGGGTTACAAGCAATTTGTAGGCAATGTAAAACCAATGAAATGCGAATAAAAGTAGAAATAACTTAGAAAAGGAGAAGGACGATGCATCGAAGTGTCTGCCTTGGGAAAGAAGCCCACGCTACTTAGACTGCCTCCAATAGATGATCTTTATTGGAACTCCAAAACTAATTCGTAGTGACATTGTTTGAAAATCCTAATGGATCCTTCTCAACTTTATGAAACTTATTCGAGATGTCTCAGATAGTAAGAATCATATGCAACCACTTGTGCGAAACATTTTCAATTTTTACCACAACCTCCAAGTGTGATACCATGACTTCATTGCAAATATCACAATTTCCGACTTCGTTTTTTTTTTAAGAATTTTTAAATCGTTAAATAGGTCATATATTTTGGGTCTTGATTTGGAGAAAATAAAAGGTGAAAAAAACGTCAACAAGATGTTATTTGCCCTCAATAATGCATAAATAGCATGGATATCATTTTCTACTTAATTTTTTCCCGTGTTTAAATCAATCGCTGTTCAAATTTTAATCGATTAAAAAACTCCTCACCCGACAATGACAGGTGGTGCAATTAATTAATTATATATAGCAAATAATTACAAAAATACACAAAATTTTAATATTGAGTACAACCTGTAGTATGTCTATAGAGAAAAAAGTTTGGAGCATATGAAAGAAAAATCCGTTAATTGGAGAGAGTTAGGAGAAGAGAAACACATGCACATGAAATATAGAAACCACATTTGTCGGGGAGCTCGAGGGGCTCTCGGCAAATATTGCCGAGAGCGGCGCTCGCTAAAGAGTTTTGCCGAGAGCGATGCACGGAGGGGCTCTCCGCCAAAGCGGCCACGCGCAATAAGAACAGGTCAGAGCTATGGGCCCTACCAATGTTTTGCCGAGACCCATGATTTCCGAGAGCCTAGAGGAGAGTTGACGAAGGAAGAGGAAGGACGGTCCGCTGCTGCCAGAGTCCGCCAGGAGTCGCCGGAGTCCGCCAAGAGTCGCCGGAGCTGGAGACCCTTCGCCGAGATCTATTGCTTGCCGAGATGCAGGCCCTGCACGGCAATCCTATCACTTGCTCGACGGCGCCCCTGTTTCGCCGATCCCAGCCCACGCTGGGCCGTGCGTTTCCTCCCTTGTCACCGGAGCCACGCGTTTTGCTCTCGGCAAAAATCTCGGATCTCGGCAAAGGATGTTTTTCCGGTAGTGACGGCGCAGCACCAGCGCTTACAGACGAGGGCGGCAAGGACGAGGCATGCGGGTTTGTCCGGCGGGAGGCGGAGGAGGATCTCTTCCAGGAGCTCGACAATCAGTTCCGGCGGCCAGCATGGTGGCAGAGGCGCGACCATGCTGCCCAATCAAATTCAACTAGGTCGTCGCGGATCGCTCGCCGCAGATCGGTGCTAGGGCGAGGGATTATTATGGTCTGTCCGATTCAACTAGGTCGTATCTAACACGGAGATTCTATATACAATGGGAATACGCGAGCTAGCCTGACAGAATTCACTGAATTTTATACGAAATCAAATTCCGAAATACTCCACGGTACAGAATCACACATAATGCATCATACATGCTTGGTTACAAAACAAGAGATAAATACACGCGGCCATGCAGCGCACCAGCAACGTAGTACTTTTAACTTGAACTTAGATTACTCTCCGAGCGCAAAGGCAGCAGCATCAAAGGTGTCAGACAGGCCAGTGCCGGTCTTGAAGGTGACTTTCTCTGGCGATGCCTCGGGAACATATACCTCGACGACGCTGAGCCAGAGCATCAGTTCCTTGGTCTTGACGCCGGTGATCTTGCTCAGCTTGCCCTTCTCGACGAATGCCGTGACCTCGGCGGCATAGGACACCGTCTGCTTGATCTTCTTGAATGTGTGCTCGACCTTCTTCTTCCCCTGCACCAGCCACATGAACCCTGACTCGCGGTTGTACCCAAACTCCAGGATGTACGTCCTCCATTGGAAGCAGGCCCTTGGGGAGGCCGAGCTCCTCCAGCAGCTCAACAGACTTCTTCCTGCACGTGGCATCTCCGGTGACAACCTCTGCACTGGCGCGGTGGCTCTCGATGGCCTGGGATGCCATGGTTTACAAATGGAGCTGTGAGTAGCGGCAAGAAAGAGATACTGTAGTTGTAAACTGTAGCTGGTTGCTCTTGAGAGTAATGAAGTGTTTGGAGATGGAGCAACATCACATATATAGGCAGGCAGCTTGTACAGACTGAGAAGCACTCCAAGACAACGTACATGCAGTCTTGTTTGACTTGGTTGGCAAAGGACGTTGAACTTGACGAGGACCATTCTGTTGTGCTTTCAGATCCTGCGTGCTGAACTACGAACTTGACTGTTTCTCTACGTATCTAGCTACTTGTAAATTAGTTTAAACTCTACACGAGCAGCTAAGTTAGTACCTCATATTTTACACTGTTCGATTTCTCTCAATAAATTGTCAGTATTTTTTTCAACCATTATAATTTTTTTACTTAAATTTAGCCCTGTGTCAGTTTAACTGAAAACAGGGTCCAAATTACTACTCTAAATTTCCAATCAGTGTGCGGGTTCACTATAATAATATATTTAAATTTCGCCCTTTATAATAACTGTATTTAAATATCGCTGGTTACCTTAGCTGCATAAGTAAATTTTGCTAATTCTTTCTAGACAATTATTTTAGCCATCCTCTGAAACCTCATCCGCTTCCCTTGATGTAAAAAAAAAATCGAAAATCAACTCATAAAACATCAAAGTACATTATAATGTTACAACATCGTCATCAAAGGAAAAATACTAAAATTAACACTTCTATTCTCAACAGGGACAATACTAAAATTAATACCTACAAGTATTTTTTGCGAGTAAATACTTATAGTATTTAATAATACAAGTTAATATGTCTGTAAGTATTTAATGCAAGCTAAGATTTACCTCTGTAGGGCCTCAGGCTAATAATACAAGCTAATATGTCTGTAAGTATTTAAATAATTAAAGTATTTAATAATACAAGCTAAGATTTACCACTGTAGGGCCTGAGGCCAGCCTCAGCCTCATGCTGTGAGTCAAGGGCGGGGAGTGAGGGACCACGAACCTAGTAGGACCTAAATTAGGAGTGAAAGTCATGGATGTTGGACCCAAGAAATTTTCATACTCTAATATTATACTACTCCATCCGTTCTAAATTATAATTTGTTGAACTTTTTTGACCCCAAGTTTGACCGCTCATCTTATTCAAAAAATTTGTGCAAACATAGTCAAATATAAGTCATTCTTGAAGAACTTTTGTTAATAAAGAAAGCCACAGCAAAAGAAGTGATGTGTAGCATAAATTTTTGAATAAGACGAGTAGTCAAACTTGCGGTCAAAAAAGTCAAAGGAACTATAATTTGGAACGGATTTAGTAGCAAACTCATGCATGCGTTACAATGGGACAAAAGAACTATGCAATGTTAATGGTAAACAACAACCAAAATGATGCATATCTATTTATGTTTCACTCTTTCCATAAAATTCCAAATCTATAATTTATTTTATGTTGGCCATGGTATCATAGTATATGTTAATGTTAACAATAATAAGACAATGTCATGTTAAGCTTGTATCAAGTTAAAATCCAACTTTAAGAGATTTTTTTCTCACGTTGCAAAGAAGAGAAATATTTAGACGTAAACGGCTTGTTTGCTTCACTTGTAATCCGTCTTTTTCAGCCGGAACAGTATTTTTCTCTCACAACTGTTTCGGCTTGTTTTTTCAGCGAAGCGAACGGGGCCAACATATCTTAACTTTAGTTTTGATACTATCCATGTATTGCTATAATTAAATATAAAACTTTTTAACTTTTTTGAGGACCCATAAAAACATGTAATTCTAGTATCCGATTAAAGTCAGCAAGCAGTTACTTACCGACGGGTCAATGAATGGTATGTCTCTGGTGATGATGATTATGATGTGAGATCTCACTCGATTTTTCACATGCCACGCTACTAGAATATGCAAGTTTCCCTCCAGTTTTTTTCTTTCCCTAGGAAAAATAGAATTTTCTAGGGAATGATTGCAGGGCTCATTTATTTGGACTAAATTAGACTCAATTCATGGTTTGATTACTGGTTGGACCATTGGCTGATCCAAATTTTAATAAGAATCAGTTTTTATTTCTAATCAAAACTACATCAACAATTTGTATTTATTAGGGGAAAACAGCTTTAAAGACCCATAATGTTGGCTTTATTGTTTGTCTTTGATGTTTATTAGAACTAGATAATACCCCACGCGTTGCTGCGGGAATTTGTTACGGTGTACTTGAGAAGAATCTATGAGCGGAGAATTGATAATACCAGCCAACAACAATATAGTGTGTTGCCGTGAGATTTGAGAAATAAATTTAGATAAACAATTGATAGTAGTGTGAATATTATAAAAAGTAACACCATTTTAGTGGTCCATCTTTTTAAGGAACACTGTACAACCTTATCCCGATTTTGTTACCAACCACCGTACAAACTAGCTTATCCCGATTTAGTTACAAACCACACTGTGCAAACTTATCCTGATTTAGTTACAAAATTAGAACATGAGAATAAAATGAGTATGAAAGTAAATATTACTTCACTTTGGTCATTTTCTTTTTCTCCGCATCAACGGCTAGAACAAAAAGGAGAAAATAGAGTAGGACTACAGTCCACATGGAGAACGTATCTTTCAGAATCTGCTGTCAACTTCTTTTGAAGGATTAGATAATACACAGTTGTCAAGCTAGGTAAAACCTTCACCTGATGGCAGAGAACACTATAAAGACCAAAGAGTGCAGACATTCAGATTAGTTGGGTCCGCATCCTTTCTGAGTGCAGTAGTAGATTGCCTGATTCAATGAGAGACGGGAACATAGGAGCGGAAGCTTGTCGGCTTTAGGCTCCAACAATGGGAGCATTCAAAACTAATGAGTTGGCCAACGACTGCACCCAACTAACAACTCCCGACGAACTGGCAACAGGTGCAACACTACCTACGTACAGCAAATCTAACTTCCCTCAATGCCTGAATGGCAGGAAGCAAAACATACGAATCTGAATCAATCAGGCATGATCCATAGTAGGAGTATGTCACTTGGCCACTTCTTCAGATCAGATACATTGCTCGCCCGGCAAATAGGGGAAAACACCATTAATTAATAAATTAATCTTACACATCATCTCCTCTACCTTACACATCTACCAATACCATGATGAACGAAGTCTGGAAACACACCACCACGCACTACTGCTTCTCCAGGACACACACAATCTAGTAATAATCTTAACAAAAAGCGTTAAAAAAGCACATCATCGACAGCTTACTACTACTTGGAGCGTCCGAAGATGGCGGCAGCCTATGTTAGATAATTAAGCCTAGCATCTATTTTTAGCACTTGCATGTTTCCTTTCAGTTTCAGCACACGCACGAGCACCGACTTGTGGTTGCCATGCGGATAGGAAGTGGTGGCCGAGAATAGCTCGCCATGAACACTGGCATGCAACCATGGGCGACGTTCACGGTGCGTGGGGATGGACGCGCAAGTTCCGCGTCGTGTGCGCCGTGGCTGTTATGCTTTGCATCGTTGTTTTCACTCAATAAAATAGCAAAGAAGAACACCCAAAAAAGCTGCGTTTTCAGGCAGCACAAATATTCAGTGTCCAGTGTCTCGCTTGCGTTCACAGGTGTTCATCGCATTCGAGCTCACCGTTCGTTCGCTGAGTCCTCGCCGCCGGCATTCGCCGCGGTCTAGAACTGACAGCCTACGCGTTCTTGTAGGCGTTGCAGCCGAGGAGGTAGAGGATGACGACAGCAACGTGTTGAGTGGTGACGACCAGGGCGATGTTGGCCTTGTGTGCTCATCCTTGGCCTGGCCCCGGAGCGCCTCTAGGAGGCCTGCCTCCAGCAATCGCACTCGTAACAGAATTTCAAGGCATGCTAGGTCGTGGTCATGGGTGTAGGAAGCGGAGCAGCCGGAGGGAGCCCAGAAGTCACGTAGCACCCGGTTTTAAGAACAAAACTAGATACACATCATATGTGAGTCTAGAAAGTCAAATATCACATATATCTACAAATAAGGGTAATATCAATAGACAATGTTTAATATATAACATATTTAGTATAAAGAATATAATCTTAGACAACAAACAGCGGAAAGATAACTCCGATCTTCAGGTGAAGACTTCAAACCACAGGGACAACTGACTGGTTGATCACAAGGCTAACTCCTCCAGACTAGTAATCCGGTACCCATCCGGGATTTTTCCAAAGATTTAAAAAGTAAAGCAAGCGTAAGTACATGTCATACTCAACAAATATAACATGGGGTTCATGAGGCTCAAACGGCTGACACTGATTAACTGCGATTAGCTTTTAATGAGTCATGATTTGAGCAATAGGGTGGCAACAAGTTTATTCATAAGCCCATATAAACATATGATCAGGTAAACATGAATAATAAATAGAATAAACAGTATTCATTAGTGAGCATCTTTATCATCAGTATCATAAGTGTTCATCATCATTAACCATTAATGATCATCTATTCCGTAAATGTTCTAAGGCCGCTCATGACCGTGAGCATGGCTGATATACCAGTTTTATACTCTGCAGAGGTTGTACACTTTCACCGTGAGTCGTGATTTACCCTTTCGTCCGAGGTAGCTAATCTCTTGACCCACTTTCAAGGAAGATCGGCAAGGTTCACTATGAAGCCTTTCAAAGGTTCGTCTAACAAGTTAGGGCCATTAGATTCACTCGACAAACAGATGCAGAGCTCCCTTCCCGATGGCACAATGACGCGCAGCCTATACACAAGGAGACAGAGGCCGCACTATACCCGATTTGTAAACATTCTTACGCCAATAAAGGTAACCACTAACAAGCTAGAAAAGGTCCTCATACTGAGCTAAAGCCAGAGCCATGTAGCCCTCACAGCTGAACTGTAAGTCCCGGATGATCACTTACAGATAAGTCCTTAGGGAGAGAAATCTAGAGCACCATAAAAACAGCCCAATGCTCTTGCCTCCTTGTTCCATGTTGCTAAAAAGCATCTTTTAATTATTTATTGCATAACCATTAGTC